TGTTACAAATAAAGCTGCTTTAAATATTTGTGTACAAGTCTTTGTATGGACATAATTTGTCCTTTCTCTTGGATAAGTACCCAGAATAGAGTAGCTAGGTCATAAGGGAGATATATTTAACTCAGACTGCAACCAGCATATGTGAAAATTCTAGTTTCTTCACATCTTCCCTGAGATCTGATATTTTCAGTCTTTCTAGTTATACTTTTCTAGTTAAAAGTAATAGTCATCTAGTTAATAGTAGGTTTAATTTGTATTTTTATAATAAAAACGTTGTATATCTTTTCGTGTGCTTACTTGCCATCCATATACATCTCTTTCAGTGACATACCTCTTCAAGTCTTTTGTCTTTTTAAAATGCATTGTTTTGTTATGGTTAAATTTTAAAAATAATTTTTAATTTTGACATTCACATTTTTTTATAGTTGGTATTTTTTAACATCATATCTAGGTAATTCTTAAGCCAAGATTACAAAGATTTCTTGTGTTTACTTGGAGAAATTTTATAGGCTTAGTATTTTTTAGGCCTGTGATCCATTTTGAGTTGATATTTGATAGTGATATAAAGCATGAATCTGAACTTGGGCCTTTTTTTACATTGTTTCAGACCAATGTATTTTTCTTCACATACATAGTAGTTCTCATCTCTAGAAATTTAAGTCTCAATATCCTTTTTATCTGTTTCCCTGTGTTTTTGCATCCTTGTATATCTGGTAATTTGTAGGCTGGGTATTGTGGATTTTAACTTTTGGAATGCTAGATATTTTATTCTTGCTCCTACTAAGAATCACTTAAATTACTTAGGTAACAGTTTAGTCCTTGTGGACCTTGCTTTTGTGACTTGTTAAATAGTTCTGGAGCAGTGTTCATTTTAGGGCTCATTACTTTCCTTTACTGAGGTGAGATCTTGCATTTTATACCCAGTGCATGAGGCTCTGATCAGCTGCTCCCTGTAAATATTTTGGATAGTTCTTCTCCTGGTCTTACATACTGTTTCTTCATATAGGTTCACAGGATAGTAGTCTGCTGAATACTCAAAAACGGTCCTTTGCAGATTTCTGAGATCTCTCTTTGTACAGTGCTTCCTGCCTGGTGCTCTGTTCCATCAGCAGCCTCTAGCTGCCCTATTTCCATTTCCCTCTCCTTAAAAACTCAAAAAGATACAAGCTGGAGCAATTGTATATCCCCTTTGTTTGTTTCCTATCTCTCAGGGATTGCTATCCTTTATGTGAGTGTCTAATATCTTAAAAATTAATATTTTGGCTGTGTGTTGTTCAGGTTGTTTCTTGGCATTGGAGAGGGTATTTGTTTTTTGGCTATTTTAGGAACAAGGTTGATCCTTTTTCTTCCATTACCTGAAACTGGAAGTCTCACTACCCATTTTGACACCACAACTTCTCTTTACATCCTGCATTCAGTGCTGAATGGCATAATTCACATCCTAGAAAACTATGTGCACATATATTCCTGTCTTTTTAACAAATATTGCTGCTTCTCCTCCTTGTTGCCTCTTCGCCCCAGCCTTGCCACTTAGAGCCATATAGAAGGGTCTGTTCTTCCTTATTGGTGAAGCCCTCCTTTTAGCATCTCCTTGTCCTATTTTTTGTGCCTTGTATGACACTTAATCACCAGCCATTTGCTCACTTCTAGGGCTATTGTTTAGGTTTTGGACTTGGATTATGGAAAGTCCCCACCTCCACACCCCAGCCCTTCCTGGTGAAGACATGTAAATGGGATTGACAGGTAGTGCCTGTGATCTGACATTCTGGAGCAATGCTCATGTCCTCCTTTTAGGACAACAGCTAATCTGAAATAACATAGAATAATAAGGGTCATGGGAAGAGAGATTCTGCTTCCTGGCTTTTGTGACTTCCTGAGGTAATAGAAAAAGGCTTTGCCCCTCAGTGTCTGTCCCACATAAGCTCAAGAGAGCAGTAATTAGACACAATTGGTGCACTAGCAACCATTCACATCTTCAGACCAGGTCAGCAGCAGGTAGCGATTATGTCCCAGTTTGTGCTCCCTGCTTGGTAGTGGTCAGAATTGAGGCCTTGCTTCAGGCAAAGCAGCATTAGTACATGTAATAGCTGAAGGTTGTTGCTCTCCACTAGTTTCATTGGGAATAAATGTAGCATGTAGGAAGTTTCTCCCCGTAGTTGACAGTTCTTCATTACAATCAAAATATGATCTTGCCCAGATTGGGGCCATGTTTAGATTTGGTAAGAAATAGTATAATTCTTTTGTTAGGTGTACTGTGTTTTTTAAACTATGGATTGTAACCCATTAATGTATCATAAAAATAAATTTGATGGGTCATGATCAGATTCTTTTTAAAAGTAAGTGTATCATATTCATTCCTGGTGTACATTCTGTGGGTTTGGAAAATGTATAATGATCTGTAGCCACCATTATAGTTTCATAAGGATTATTTTCAGTGCCCTGAGTTACATGTGCTCATCTATCCCACCCAGACTCCTGGTAATCACCAGTCATTTTACTCTCTTTATATTTTGCCTTCAAATTGCAGACAATAAGTCACTTTAGAATGCAAGTCTTCAAGAAGGTGATTGAGGGCATCAGAATGACTGCTGCTGCTCCTGACCTCAGGGTCTCAGGGCCGCTGCTGTAGTTCCAAACACCACATTCTTACAAGAGGAAGCCAGAATGGGAGGTTTCTTCCTGTCTTTTTTATCCGTAAGACTGAACTTCCCAGGAAGACTCAGGAGGCATTCAGAGTAGCTGAAATATGCCTAAACTAGTACGTCTTAGTGCTCAAACTGGTCCATGCCTCACCCCACACCAACCTTAACATAGGGAAAGACTTTGATTCCAGCTCATCTCCTAGACTGGGCTGTTGGTGTTGTTGGAAAGTTGATGGCCCAGTCACAAAGGAGGAAAAACTGTAAATTTGGATTGTGTCACAGCCTGGCTTTGAAGTACCCCTGGGCATGTTTTACTCTAGATTTAATTCAACCCACCTTTACAAACAGTCAGGGCTCAGAGACCAGGGACCATCTTGGTGTCCTGGGCCCTTTCCCCACGATGTTTCCTCACCTATTTATTACCTTGTCCACTGTGACTACTCAAGAAACTATGAACTCTGGCTCAAGGTCTGCTCAGAAGAACAACTGGAAAGAGTCTATTTCTGGTTATCAGTTCCCTCCATGATTCCCAATCCTCTTTCAGCTAAATAAAACCTTTCACTGCAACCATGTGCTACCATTCACTGGCCGTCACCTTGGGTGGCTACCGAAAGTGTTCATTACCCGCTACCACCCTGACCTTGGGTTCAGTTGGCTCAAGTTCAGCATAAAACTTGCAGTGGGTCTGTGTATGATGGCAGTTACTGGTACAGTGTTGGATCTGTTTCTCTCCCAGTTGCTTATGTATACAAAAGTATTCAAGTTCTGCTATTTGTCATTTCTTTTATCAGATACTGATTACTCTGGCAAAAGAATGAGCTAAGTGCATACGCCAGCTCACAGGTTCTAAGGAAGCAGTTCCTGCTTCTAGAGGGACTTCAGGCTGTGTCTATGCCCATTTTGCTCAAGACATTCCTCTCCCCTCCCCACTCCATTTCCTATTATGTTTAAAGTCTACAGAGTCTGGTGGATGTGATGATAATGCTGTCTATTTATCTTTGTTTCCCTGTCTTCCTTATGATGTTGACATTGTTTTTTTAGGCTGAGATTTTGGGTTGATTTCCCTTCCTCCCAAGACACATACACTTATATAATGCAGTTCTGTTTGATAGTTGTGATATTTAACCTTGAGGGCGTGCCCACCCTCAGCCTCTGATAATATCAGTTTCATGTCAGGTATATATGTGGACTGGCTGGCTTCTTTCAGTCTGGAATTCTGGTGTGAGAATTTCCAGAAACTCAGCATCAGCTATAACAATTGGGTGACTCCGGCTTCCGAGAACTTAATACTGATGGTATGTTTTGAAAGGGAGTTGTAGATGTCTATTACAGATGTGCTTTTCTCTTTTGTCAGGGGACTCATTCTCAGAGATCTCAATCTTTGGTGTTTCCCCTTATATTGGAGGATGCCATTGTGATTTGTCTGGCTTCTGGGACACCAGTGTAGTAGAAAGAACATGGTAATTTGGATCCAAGGGCCTAGCTTTAACCTTTCAGCAAATTATTTCACTGCTGCCTCAGTTTCTTCTCTGTGAAATGGAGCTACTATCATGGGAAACAGCTGAGTGGATTTGTGTGTAGATAAGGGAGCTTCAGAGAGCTGGGCTACTTTGGGATAAAATATATATAAGGTGAATGCTGCACAAGTTCTCTCATTTTCTGAATCAGCCTAAGTTGGTTTTTACTTTTGCCAGAAAAATAGCAGAAGTCAGTCTGTGCCCAGGTTCCTTGTTGGTGTGCGACTCTCAGCAGCAGAATGCTACGAGAAGCTTGCATCCCACTTCTCATCCCACACCCCAGGATGCTAAATGGGTTCTCTTCCCTGGATGAACACCCAGTTACCCAACCAGGAGAGCAGCACCGTGTGTTTGTCATATTCAGTGAGCCACTGAGATGGCCGTGGTGTCGTGGTGGTAGGAGCTCTACCTCAGCAGAAGACGAGTTATATTTTACATGTTATGTGTAAAAGGTAATAAGGGCTTGAGGGTGAATATGACTCTTGGACTGTAAGTGATTGTGTCAGTCTTAGAAGGACGAGTTACTCTTAATCTGGGAGCAACCCAGGTAGTGCTGAAAAGGTCGTGACAGGAGGATATGCCTCACCTCCAAAACAAAGTAGACTGCAGCTGCCTCTTGGAGGTGAGTCCTTCAGGGGTTTACTTACTGCTTGGCATCAAGGACCGCCCTAACTCCCTAGCTGCCAGTGAGGTCACAGCAAATCTTCCTTAGGTCTAGGCCTAGAACATGCTACCAGGCCCATTAATGCTGACATCTGTGATGAATCCTTCACCGTGAGTTTCTGACTTGCCTCCTGTCATTTCTCCTTGTTCCTCATGTTACATCTGCCCTTTTTCACAGGGATGCTTGAAGATGGAAAGAAATTTGATTCTTCCCGGGACAGAAACAAGCCCTTTAAGTTTATGCTAGGCAAGCAGGAGGTGATCAGAGGTTGGGAAGAAGGAGTAGCCCAGGTATGCTGTCATTTGTTTTGTTATTTGTGTCTACTTATTAAATTATTTGTAAAGGAAAATACTCATGGTTTAAAAACCAAAAAAGGTGTATCTCATCCCACCCTTTCTTCTGATATCCCCCACAAATATCTATTGTCATATTCAGTGAGCCACAAGTGTGCCTTGTATTACAGTTTCTTGGAGCATATATGAAAATGTACTTATTCTTTTTTGCTTTTAAAACATAAAACAGCTGTACATGTACAACTGCATAGTACTTCCTGAAATGAGTGTGTTACAATTTGTTTGACAGAGAACTAATGATGGCTGTTAGGATCATCTCTAATATTTTATTATAAAAAATGCCACAATGGTTCATCATGTGCACTTTATTTTACATGTATGCAAGTGTTGCTGTAGAACAGAATTCTCTATAGTAGGATGAGTGGCTCAAAGCTGCGTGCACAGGCCTTGTCACATTGCCTTCAGAAGGATTACACTCTAGAGCTACCACTGAGAGGCTATAACAATGCTGGCTCCTCCCAGTTCCAGCAGTACAGTGCAGTATTAAACTTCTGGCCTTGTGACAATATGATACATGGAAAATGGTGTGTCATGTAGTTTCGGTTTGTGTTTCTTTTACTATTGACCGTGTCACTTCTGAGAGGTCATACTCATGGAGAAACTAATTTTGTCTTGAGTTTGTTACCTCATTTCTTCCCTGCCATTTGTGGAAATAGCTTTTATTCTGCCAACGTGACAGAATTCCCAGGAGACTGTAGGGGACCCAGGGTTGCCAAATTTCAGTTGGATTCTGTCTTCTCATCAAGCCGAGGAATTTTCTCTTGTCTTTAACCAGGTAAAAGGATGTTTGCAGTGACCCAGAGGGCTTATAATCAGGTTCTGGGTGATGGGTTATTAGTCTTTTTCCCTCTCACCAAGAGAACAGGAAATTTAACCAAGATAAAATTTTTTTATTTTCCAGAATACACGTTGTTCCACTTTATAAAATATCACTGAATTGTAAATTGCTTGACTTTCAGAAACCCCAAGCCTCTTTCCCCTAGGTGTCTGAGTTTGTGCTTCTGCAGGGCAGAGGGTGGCAGTACAGGGAAGAGGCCCTTTGTGGCTTCCTTCTCTTGGGAAACCTTGTCAGCCATATCATTTCACCCTTGTGCATGTAATCTGGCCAGCTCTGGGGTCTGTAGCACATCTGCCATCTCCCATGACAACTCGTCTTCTGTGACTGTTTCAGCATTGGGATAGTGACTGTGTTGCATGGCCCAACTGCTATAGCTACTGTTTAGGTAGCATTGTCAACTTAAGTCACATCCCAGGTTTTCCAGGTGTGAGAGAACTGGGCATGGTCTAGATCCCTTTGCTTTGGGGTCAGATTCCTCAGCCCTGTCACTTATGAAACGATTGGATAGTTTGAGAACTACATAAGGTATCTTTTAAACTCTCCTCTATAGACTATTGAGTTAAAGCCATAGGAAGAAGGAGGGATTGTCTTGTGCCCTTGTTGGTTTTACATGATTCCAGGTGCCACAGGTATCATTTTGGCAGTTTCTTTTTTCATTTCATAGTATGTTTTGGCATCTTTCCATATTAATACATTAAAAGGTAGTTGCTATTGTTAATATTAGGCATTGGTTGAACCCAGAGCCTTTACCCTGGGTTAAATCCCAGCACTGTCAAAAGACAGGATTGCTTTTGCATTTTATTAGATAAAAACCATATGCTTTTACTTGTCCTTACCATCTTGATCCAGTATGTCCCAGTTTCTCAAAGATGCTAAAGTACAGATTCTGAGTTGCATTAGAAACTTGGTTTCAGGCCATAGCTTCCTCTTCAGTTGTTATTTCTCATGCTGGATCAGAGCCAGAAATGCACGTGTGGAGACTAAAAAGTAAAAGAGGTAAAGGATAGAAATATGACAGAAAACCTGTTCAGCATTTCAGAAAATAGACATTTATCTTTACTTTGTATTTGATTAGAAACTAGAGAAAATATACAAATGTATTTTTTGAAATAACATTTTCCCTCACCCTGGCCACTGTTGTCTTTGTTGTTGTGTGGGGTTGTTTTTTGTTTGGAGTTTTTTGGGGGTGGGTTGGTGCCAGGAATCAAACTTATGACCTGGTGCTTGTCAGGCAGGCACTGTGCCACTGAGCTATGTCCCTCAGGCCCACCTTAGTGAAGAGTGACTAGTCACTCTTCACACTACTCTCTCCATAGAAAAACACAGGGATTGTTCGTATCTTTCCAAAGACACTTTCTGTGTATACAGCGTTCCAAATATATAAATAATCTCATAAATTATAGCATGCCATTTTGTACTGCAAAAAGCACGCTATTTTGAAGTTTCTCAGTAGAAGTATAAATATAGAAAGTACACACAAAAAATAGATTAACCCAACTACTTTGTATTTCAAGAAGTCATTTTGTGCTGAACATGTACAACCTTTCTTGTCATTATCACCTAAACAACAGATTATAAGGACTATTTACTTAGAATTTACGTTGTATTAGATATTGTAAGCAGTATAGAAATGTTGTGAAATATTCAAGAGAATGTACAGAGACTATGCAGATATTCTTTATAAGAGATTTAAGCATCCACAGGTTTTGGTATCCTCCGAGTCCTTGCACACATCCCTCATGAATACCAAAGGTGACCCTAGTTCTTTTACTCAGGAAATATACATGCCACTTAACCATATCTCCTCTGAGTAACGGACTACTAAGGACTGGGTGAGGAAGGTTCTAGGTTATTACCTGCTCAGTGGCCATCAGAAAGACCTGGTAGAAATGTTGAAGGCCTGATCCTGTAGGTGGTCAAGAGGGAGTTTTCACTGCTACTGTGACCTTGGAGTCTGACCGCCAACTTCTAAGTCTTTTGTTGGCTTGGAAGAGGAATACCTGATGTCTGAGCAGCTAACTGCAAAGTCACTGGACTATCTTAGCCCGTACAACACTTAACTGACCAAGAACGTTAGGTAAACTGCTCTGCTTCTCCAGAGAGACTGGGAATGTATCCAGCTGAGCATTTCTCCTTGTTCTTTCCACAGATGAGTGTGGGTCAGCGAGCCAAACTGACTATCTCCCCAGACTACGCCTATGGTGCCAAAGGGCATCCCGGCATCATCCCACCACATGCCACTCTTGTCTTCGATGTGGAGCTTCTAAAACTGGAATGACAGGAGTGGCCTCTTCCCTTAGCTCCCTGTCCTTGGGTAAGGAAAGAATACTGCAGGGCCTGTCACTTTGCTTCTCCCTTGTTAGGCCTAGTGTTTGGTGGATAGAGACAAGAAAGAAAAACCATGAGACCTTTTTGCCTATACCCTTCTCCTATAGGACATCTTTTTTTTCTTCTTCTTCTTCTAGTCTTTTTGATTTTGAGACAGGCTTGCTATGTAGTTCAGGTTGACTTTGAACTCTCTATATAGTCCAGCTGGCATTGAACTCATGGCGATCATCCTGCCTCAGCCTCGTGAGTGCTGAGATTACAGACATGTACCACCATGCCTGGCTAGGGCATTCTTTTAATGTATACCTTGAATGTAAAAGCTGGTTCCCCATAGGAAAAATGATGGTGTATGTTCTGGAATAAACTCGTAAGAATGGCAGCCATTCAGATAAAAGTGTTTTTATATGTAGCCGATTAACTGAGTTAGGGACTGTGGAGACACAAGCCACATAGTGTTGGTATTTTAGTTCTTTGGAAGACTCAATGAGTTTTCTCTACTTCATGTTTCTAGATGCTAGTAAGCAAAACATGTCTGAACAAACGTGTGGCTTGTGTGACTTAGCTGTACAATATTTAATTACTGCCCATTAGAAGATATGAGTGAGGCATTACTGCCTTAGTCCACCTGCCTCAGGGAACAAGCTCAGGACACTCAAGGTCAGCTTGTTGTCAGTGAATAAAAAGATGGGGCCAGAGGCTGCTTATGAAGTGTAAAGGATTCACTCAGGTCACATAGTCCTGGGAAGGGACCTGGGGATCTGAATCGGCCTTCTAGTACACCAGGTAAGGAAACAGACCCAGAGTGAAAACTCTTTCTCAAGGCTGCATGCAGCCTGTAGCAAAAGGACCAGAGCCCATTTCCCGACCTCCCTCTTCTATACTTACACATAATATCCTAACAGGGCATCCCTTTTCATGTAGGTATTAGAATCATTAAACACTTGAATGCCGTCATCTGCTTTCTAAATGACCCAGTTTTTCCTGTTCACTGCCCGCCTGCTCATGGAACCAGGAGGCTACAGCCAGAGACTAAATGAGGACACTTTAGTTTGAAAGCTGTGGCAAGTGGCTGCTAACCCAGTGATGGCAATCAGGCTTTTTAAAGAGGCTCTTTTATTATTAGCAGCCCTTTCTCTCAGTAGCCTGAAATGTAAATACATACTGGGGTAATACAGGGCTGGCCAGAGTTGATAATTCTAGCTTCTTTGCTCATTATTTGTACCAGGAGAGAATGACAGATAGTTCGTGTCTGCCCAGAGGTCTTCACCTCTTCCTGTTCTTAGATGAGTTATTTGAACATAAATGCATACAGGGAACCTTGGCATTATCCTGTTTGGGAATATTTTCTGTAAGTCTGATGGGTTGAAGGAATGAAAAAGGAGAGAAAGGGATGAGGATTACCAGTCATCCTGACCTAACCCTACCCTCTGTCAAACATCTCAGTGCTTCTTACAAAGATCTCAAAAAATAAAAAAAAATTAAAAAGGGAAAAAGAAATCTCATAGCAAAGCCTGAAGGCAGTTCAGAAAGTTGTAAGTTTGACTAAATGAGTGAATGAATACATTTTCCAGTCTGTTCACCATGACAGGTAAGGCTGTGGTTCTCAGTCTGAATCTAGTGCAGTATCTCCACTACTTTTTATAAACATCTACCCTGCCTGGGGATGGGATTTAGGCATTAAAATTTTTTTCAGACCCCTAAGTGATGCCTATATGTAGCCAACTTGGAGACTAGAGATAATGGAAACTATACTGTCGGTAGCATGCATCCATTTGTCCTGCTTCCACAGCAAGCGGTGCTTAAACTTCAGTACAGCAGAGCAGAACAAAATACATGGACCAATTTAAGCAGCAAGAAGTTGGCTCACCTGGGACCCCAGCATCAGCCAATCTGGATTTCTCCAGCTAGAAGACAAATGGTGTAGTCCCAGCAAGACCTGTCAGCTGCTGGGGCCAGGGTTGGCATGGCAGATGGCATTGTGGCTATCTTTGTAAAGAACAGGAAAGTGCTTGAACTCACAGATTTTCTGTCCTCAACAGATCTGCTATGGAGGGATCCTGTGTCTCCAGATGCGTGCACATGAATCCATATGAAGCTTTTCCTGATATCCCACTACTCTTTGTATAAAAGTCTACCCCAACTGAATGTGTTCTGTCACTCAGCTTTGCTTCTGACACCTCCATTTCTGCTTTCATTTCTCCTTGTATTTGTTGTGTTTACCTACACTGTATGCCATAAACCTCAAGTTACTCATTTTGTTTTTGTTTTTGGTTGAAGATTTAAGTTTTGGATCTAGTTTCCAATTAAGTGTATTGTGAAGTATTAACAGCACAAGTAATGGGTTAACTTTAGAATAGTAATTGGTGTTGGGGGGTGGGGTTTGCAAGAATCTTTATTTTATTTTTTTTGGATGAAATTTTTATCTATTATATATTAAACATTCTTGCTGCTGCGCTGCAAAGCCATAGCAGATTTGAGATGCTGTTGAGGGCCAAATTATTCTCCATTGTGAGAGATGTCCTTGAATTAAAAGCCCTACCCAAAACTGAAGTAGGGAGGGGGAGAGCCTTAGCCTCTGACAGCCTCAGCCACCTACCTTGAAACCTTTGCCTTTTGAAAGCCGGTCACTTTCACTGCGAAGTTGGACACTATAGGTATCTGTCCCTGGGCCAGCAGGGACCTCTGATGCCTTCTTCATGACCTGAACCCCCCCACCCCATCCTGTGGTTTTTCTAATGGATTTTCAGGACTTTTGTAATCTTATAACTATTCAAGCTCCACTTCCTAAATTTTAAGAACTTTAATTGCAAGTTTAAATTGAAGGTGCTGTTTGTAGATTTATCACCCAATGAAAGCCCTGCCATCATGACAAATTCCTTGAATGTTCTCTTAAGATAATGATGCTGGTCATCGCAGCTTCAGCATCCGTTTTTTGTTTTTGTTTTTTTGTTCTTTGCTTTTTTAATGCTTGGCTCTCTCTGCTGACCTCAAAGAGTCTCCTGGCTTTTCTTCCCTCAGTTCCTTCTCACCCTTTGCTGTCCTGTGTAGTGATTTGGTGAGAGACGTTGTTGCTTTGTTCCCCATTCCATATACCCTCAGAGTCACCCCCTCTCCCATACCACATATGAGTTTCAAGTTTTATTATTGCAATAAAAGTGCTTTATGCTGGCTTTTCTCAGCTCTGTGTCATGGTAGTTACTTCGACCTGCTTCTGCTGCCATTTGGTGCAGGGGGAAGGTAGCAATGAAGATAGTATCCCGAGTTGAATGTTAGCAGAACTACAGCAGTGAACATCCCTCCCCATTGGCCACTGTAGGTTGGGTGAGAAGAAGGAGGTCTGGCCGTAGGTTCACAGCCAAAGGAACTATGTGGAGGTCAGGCTGGAATAGTCAGGGAGTACTCTACTTCCTCCCCATCATCACATGTCCGTAACTATGTTCTGGGTGAAACGCTGTGCCTGGTTCTTGGGTTAAAAGAAGAGCGATCCACCTCTTAAGGAAGTCACAGTGAAGTTGGAGAAATGCAGAAAGCAAGCTGATGAATTACAAACAGCACTCAATTTTAAATCGTTCCTCAGTGACGTGGTGTGGAAAGACTACCATGTAGAGAGGCTGAGTGATTACAGTACGTACCTTCCTGGTCCTTAGCCTATATGTGCCAGTATCATTCTTTCCTTACTGAAAGTTATGGAGGCCAGCAAAGTCTGTTGCTTTCAAAACTGCTCTGAGAGCCATTGATTTTAAATAGGTTATTGAAGTATTTGATAAATGAGTTTCTAAATTGTGCCTTTTGTTTTTAATTTATATTACTGGAGTAATATAAATTTTCAGATAAAATTAAATAGAACATCTTATTTCTCCAAAGTTTTTTTTATTTTATTTTATTTAAGGAGAAAAAAGAAAAAACAGAAAAAGGATACAAGTTATACAGAATTTCAGAAAAAAACAGGAAATCACTAGTTAATTACATATTGTCATCTTGGAAATAGTTGTTAAAGTTACAAAATCAAAGCATATAGAGGGGACTTTCAAACAGTGAGATTGCAAACAGTTTTGTTCAATGATCCAACAAAATTCAGAAATATGGTTATCTATCTTACACACTTAAATATATTATGCAGTTATATCTTTTAGAGAACTTCCTTTTCCTTTCTTTTGTACAATGACAATTACACATTTTGGGTTTTATTACTCCCACAGTTCTTACTGCTTTTTTTTTTTTTGAAGAAAGTAAAACCAAATGTGACATACCAGGACAGAGTCAGTCAAATCAAAAGGATGGACATAATACATAATATAAAAACAAAATACAAGGTGATCAACAATGGTTACCATAATGCCTCTTGTTATCTTAAAAAGAATTGCCTATATCATCAGTTATAATAAAATTGAACAAAACAGTAAAGAATAAGACAAATAAAACCAAAACATTGGAGACATTAGAGGACTTCAAAAGAAGATAATAGTCAACCAGAATGAGCGTCACAATGAATCTTATTGTCTTCATAGTTGTTGCCTATACTTTCAAACTTGGTACTATCTAGCATAACAGAATAGAGAAAAATCAGACAAAACAAGATGGTGAGAGCAATACAGAGTTTCAAATCAAGTTAATAGGAAATCAAAGTGGGTTACTATAATATATCCTGCTACTTTTTATTTAGTTTTCCCTTAATTAAAAGGATAAAAAAAATCTGTGAGTATAATTGCTGGGGAAAAAAAGGATAAAAAAGAAAAACGTAGATAATAAAAAAGGAGATTGAGATAAAAAAAGAGGGCATAACAACAAAACAGTGCAGGTCAAAACATAGCCATTTAAGCAAAATAGTGTTTCACCACAGGATAATCTCAACATAATAGTAGTTACCATAGTGTCTCTTTCCTTAAAATCTTTGGGTATAACTTCATATACTGTAGCATCAAACATATCAAGACAATGTAAAACCATTCAAGAGAATGACAGTATTACAGGGTATTTAGAATCAACTAACAGAAAATGAACAATGGTTTCTGTATAATCTCCATGTCTATAAAAGTTTTTGTTTATATTATCACATAAAATCCAATAAGATACAACACATTAAAACCGATGGAGACAGAACAAAAGCATGATCGGACTTCAAAACAAGAGGATACTAAATCAGCACTACCTATTTTGATGTCTTGTTTTCTCCAAAATGGCTGTTCCTACCATCCAACCTTCTCTGCCGCATTTCTTTTGAGCTCTTTTTCTGTCTTTAGTTGTCAGTTTGTCCTCTTCATTTCGCTTTCTGCTCCATTCATTGTGGCTGCTCTGCCACTGTTTCTGAAATCTTGGTATTTTTCATTTTTAGAATATCCTGCAGTAATCTCTGTAGAGTTGAATTGGTGGTTGCAAGCTCCCTAGTTCCTCTTTATCCTGGAAGCATCTTGTTTTTCCATCAATTTCTAGGGACAGTTGTGCGGGATATATCAATCTTGGCTGGAGGTTATTATCTCTCAAAGCTTGAATTATTTCCCCCCACGTTCTTCGTGATTTGATGGTTTGTGCCGAGAAGTCTGCTGTAATTCTGATGGGTGTTCCCTTGCAAGTGATCTGTTTCTTGTCTCTGATGGCTTTTAATATTCTGTTCTTATATTGGATTTCTGGAATTTTGATTATTATATGCCTGGGTGTAGCTCTGTTTGGGTTGTAGGTGGCTGGTGTCCTGTATGCCTCATACATCTGAGTATCTTTACCTTTTGCTAAATTAGGGAAATTCTCCTGGATTATTTCTGTGAATAGCTTTTGTTCATTTGTTTGAGTCCCTACTTCTTCTTTTATGTTCTTAATTCTTAAGTTATAGATCCTCAAGTTTTTCATTTCATGCTCCCACCTTACAAATCTGTCCTCCGGTTTTGATAATCTATCCTTAGTTTTTTTCAAGCTGTTAAGCCAGCTTTCAATAGAGTTTTTAGTTTCCTGGTAATCTCTGTGACCCTGCTTCACGTATTCTGTTTTCTCTATTTTCTCCATCAAACAATTCTCCCCTTTTTTTCTGTTTTTCCATTCTACCATCTGTTTTTTCTTGGGCGGTACTTAGCATTTCTGTAACTATTCTACTTATTTCTTGCTTTATTTCATTCAATACTTCATTTTTGAACTTGTCTATGAGGCTCCGGAGATACCGCTTTATATCTATAGGTGCCATGTCTGATATTGCATGTTTTCTGTCTTCATTCTCTTTTGCACTTACCTTTCCTGGATCAGTGTTCTCAGGACTGGGGACTGAGGACCCTTTCTTGTTGCTCCCTTTCCCATACTTTTTGTTCCTTCCATAGAAGCGTATGTAGGAGGCCCAGTTTTTTTTTTTTTTTTTTTTCTCTTTGTCTGTTACAGTTTGTTTGAATTCGCCGGCTAGGTGTTCCCACCTATTGCAGTGTACTAGGGAGACACAGACCTGGGCAGCCTCTGCTGGGCCTGCCCCTCCAGGTCAGCCTACTGAATGCTTCACTGCTAGGGCACAATGCCAGGGGCAGAGATCTGATTTGGGCTAGCCTACTGGATCTTAGTCTGTGGCATCACCTGGCCAAGTGCTCCCCACCACTCCCGCTTGAGAGGGGAATATGCAACTAAAGTCACTGCAGGGCCCTGTTCCGGCTAGTCTGCTTGGTCCCAGAATGTCCTCTGTTGGAGCCTCCTAGTCTATGAAAGGGTCCCCATTTCTCTCACCGCAGGTTGATGCAGGGCTCCCTGCCAGTCCTGCTGTCAACGCCATTTGGTTTGCCAATTCCAGCTCTCAGAGCTTTCGCGTGTCTCTCTCCTTGCCATGCGGATTGGGACGCAGTATCGGCAGCAGGAAATTCAAATCGTGGCTTCCAATGGCGTGGGATCTAGCTTCCTTACTGAGATTTTATCTGTTCCTTTTATCTCAGCAGGATTGCATTTCCAGTTAGTTTCTCTCAGCTTAGTTCGTTCCTGGGTCAGCGTATGACTTTCCTCGCGTATGACTCCTCACACCATACCGCTCCTGGATTCTAAACTGGTAATCTCAGAGAGCCTCCGTGGCTGCTATTATTTGTCTGCCATGTTCTCCTGGAAGTCCAAGGAAAAATTTTTTCCAAAGTTCTTTTTTTAAAATTTGTTTAGTGATGAATTGTTTCAGTAAATACTATAGTCTAAGCCAGGCATGGTGGTGCATGCTTGTAATCCCAGCACTCTGGAGACTGAGGCAAGAGGATCACTGAGAGTTCAAGACCGGCCTGGGCTACAAAATGAGCTCAAGGCCAGCCTGAATTGCATAGTAAGACGCAGTCCCAAAAAGAGGAATAAATAAATGTTACAGTACCAAAATATTGCTGTACCTATTTTTTACATAAGTATGTAGATAGAAATTGATGGACAGATACTATTCTTTTTGTCACATTTCATAGTAAATGGCAGGCATCACTATAGATCCTCCAATACATACCATAAACTAGAGTGTAGTGTTTACACTTTTGTACCACTATCAAAATGTAGAACATCATTATCTTAGAAATTCTGTTATTATTTCCCCAGGTAGTCATTGCACCTCCAGAGGCAGCAATTGTTCGATTTCTTTTTTTCTTCAGATTAGTATTGCTCTTGTCATCGTTGTTATTGAGAATTGAACCTCTGGCCTTTGCACTGAGCTACAGCCTTAGGTCACTAAAATGCCTCAGCTGGGTTAGAACTTGCAGTCCTCTTGGTTCAGCATCCCAGAGTGCTAGTATAACAGGCATGTGCCACTGTGGCCACCTTACAATTTTATTTAAGTAGAATTCTAACTCATACCCTTTGGCATTTGGTAGTCAATATTGTGCTTTCAGGCACACTGAGAAGTTGTTGCTTCTTACTGAACTTTCAGAGAAACTCGACATTTGGGTTGGGGTCTATGCAGGCAGAATAATGGCCACAAGTAATGCCTACCTCCTATTCCTCAGTATTGGTTTTTCTGATAAAATTAAAAAGAACCCTGAGATAAAGAGATTTATCTTGGATTTCCCAAGTAGAGCAAATGTAACCATAAGGGTCAGAGAAAGAGATATGAGGGTGGAAAAACATTTGAGGATGAAGTACCACTGGCTTTAAAGATGGAAGAAGGGGTTATAATTCAAGGAATGCTGGCAACTTCTAGTCAAGGAGAGAAATAGAGGGCTGCTCATGTCTTATTTCTAGTCCCATGAGATGTTTTTATAC